CTAGGTAGCCCAGATGAAGGCGGAGAGGCCGCCTGATCAGGAGAGATCATAGTGGGGTCGTATGGGATGATTCTGGGGCCCAGTGTGGGGCCAGTGATAGTGTTAACACCGAGATGCCATCTGCGAGGCTTGGGCTGCGGTATTAGGGGAGGTCGGAGCTGCAGAGCGCCCCCTGGCATCGGGGCACTACAATGGGCAGCCTCCCGCTTAATTGACATCGATACACGAATCAATTATCATCAAAGGCGTGGCGGGCGAGATAAGCGGGCGGTTGCCCAGACACAGGTGGGCGGGCCACGAAGAGCTCAGCCCTGAGTAGGCCTCCTGTCACGGTGACAGGTGGGCGGGCCACAGAGTTCGGCCCCAGGAGGCCCCCTGTCACAAACCTAACAAAGTGTACAAGAATATATGGCATATTTAGCCATGCAGTAGAAGAAAAATTTCAGGCCCCCCCCCCCAAAGAAGCCCGTTCAGAGTCTTAACACAAGTATGGGTCAGTGAGGTTTAGGATCACATCCTATGGAAGACTACTTATATAGACTCACCATAATCTGAGCAACTGCCTTAATGAAGAAGACCCGGTCCTGCTCTGTCTCGACATCAGAAGGAATATCGGTCTGTGGCTCATACCTGTGGGAGGGAACATGCAGAACATCTTTTTTTATTAGCAGGTACCAATACATTTGCAAGAAAAAGTGAAGAATCATGTGCATGAGCACCTGCAAACTAAGTATTCAGCTTCTAATGCAGATGGAAAAACAGTAGATCAATATCTAGGATCTGTATATGTAAATTATATCTGAATATGTAAATTAGGGAAGCATAAAAATTGCAAGAACTATAAAGCCTAGGGCATCTTTGCAAAGAGGATGTCAAACTCAGATCCTGAATCTTACTTTTTGGCTTATTATGAAGGAACAGAAATATTTAGCTCCCTTAGCTAAATCCATTTCAAGGCTTGGATTTAGGCTTTAGATCAAAAGAATATTTATGATGAGAGATTATTTACTATTTTTTTCCTTTTGTTGTGTTTTTTTTTTTTAAACAACTACACAGATAAACTAAACCGATTCCTACTACGTTCAACTACCTGATTTAAAAAGACAAAACAGTGATCAACTACATTTCTAACCTACAGGACAGTAAACTACACATTTCTAACCTACAGGACAGTAAACTACACATTCCTAACCTACAGGACAGTATACTAAAATGATCAATAGCAAAACAGTTAACAACCACTCTCACAATTCTCAATTCACAAACTTCTTCCACAGATGAAACAACTTAATGAAGCGTTATCTTTGTAACACTAGAAACCATTTCTTAATGAAAGTTTAGACTTCAAAGCAGCAGTGCAGGGAAGCAGCTGGACACCCAGGACAAAACAGGAGCCGCAATCACAAATATGAACAGGTGGTTACTGGCAGCATCTGCTTTTGGGGGGTTTTTTGCACACCACCCTTCCAACTTGGAACCCAGTGGTTGCCCTTGTCACCCCTCCTAATTACACCACTACTTTGTAGCACATGATACTGCCAATGAGTGTTCTGCAACAAATTCTGTAACCACAGAATTGGGGAAAATAGTTTCACTTATCATTTACCACTGCCTCCAAAATAAAACTTCCCTGATGCCTGAATAATAGATAAATATTTTACATTTTATAGCACCTTTTATCCTGTAGGATCCTCAAAACACTTTGTGAGTGTTAAAAAAAAAAAAAAACCGTAACACTGAAATGGAGCCACCTTTAGAGAGTGACCACCAAGTAACTGGCAAACTGTACATCATACACAAGGACACATCAAAGAGGAGGAAACTGGGAAAAATCACCTGTCCCACCTCTCTCAAAAACTGCAATGAGATCTTTTAATGTTCAGATGGAACAGTGTCCCCTCTTTTAAATCTCATCTCAAATTCAAAACAAGTCAAGTCTAAATTAACCTCTCTGCTTTGCAATGCAATTATAAGGCTCTTGGAAGCAAGAAAAGCTGACTTATTGGTTGCCTTGTGTAATTTTGGCTGGTATAACCCACCAAATAAATCCCAATAGCTTTCCAACTGCCTGGGATGTAAATGAAGCACTTCAGTTACAAGCACAATACTTCCAATCTCATTATAATATCCAAGTTAAAGCACCTGAAGCTGTTCAGTTTAATTGGATTAATATTTCTTACACCTTTTTAAAAAAAAAAGTGTTCTCTGGTGTAATGAAGAGTCATTCTACCTGTTCTTTTGACTGAATCTTGGAGGCAAACTTTCTGATCTTAATTTGAATGGAAAAGGACAAGTAAATTAAGCTCAAATCACAGGTGTGTAGGGA